CAAGACAGAGAGGTACTGAGTACCTTGACCTTTTCCATGCCCTTCCATATTACTAGGTTCCTGCCCAATTGAACAGGGCCCTATTTTCCTTAATATGTGTTCTCTTTTTCTTCTCCTATGCAAATTATTATTAACTATTATTGATATCTTTTGTTGCCCTAATTAATTTCAACAGCTTGGCTGGGGTCTTTATATGTAGCCTTACAAGTGCACCTGTGTGTGCTTCCTTCTTGCATTTGGGCTTGGTGAGGAGTTCCTCATTCATCTCCTGGGGCCTTCTGCCACAAGTTCTTAGCTTTGTACATGCTGGAATGGAGCGTTCTGGTGCTTTTACGAGTTTCTTGGAAGATCGATCAACTCTCCTGGGTCCCATTGCCCTTCAGGGCAGTCTCGCTCTGGGATCCTGCCAAGCATATCCCTCAGCAAGCCAAAATTTGCTCTCCTGAAGTCTGTAATTCTGTTCTTCATCTTCCCCACTTTTCACAGGATCTCAGACTTCACGATCTGATGGTCTCTGCAGCCAAGACTGACACTGACTTTTATATTTGCAGTGATTTCTTCTTTATCTGTCATCGGCAGGGCTAGCAGAGCACATCCCCCAGGCAACTCTAGTCCTTTAAAAAAACCAAAACACAAACAAGTTTGTATAGGTCATCTCTGACAGGTATTTGTATGACTAGTTCTTTGAAACTTGTGTTATTTGACATTTTGAGACCTATTCGGCTGCTTTTTCCAGTGCTTCATAGAAATATAATTTTTACCCTAATGTTTCTTTTTTATTATAGATTAAGAATGGTTTTTCCTTTATCAGCTTTATACATTGAAAGACTAATTCTTAACCCAGATTAGTGTACCTGCTGATAAGTTTAGCTTGAATTATTTGAATCTTTTAGACCATAAACTAGATTCAATATAAACCAAGGTGTCATTAGTATTGCCTGACACAGAAAAACAGTTTTGTTCTGCATGAGTACATGATGATCATCAGATAAATATATGTTCGGCCATATGAAGTATCACTAATTATAAAMAAATAGTAATCTATGTGGGTAACTTTGAAATCATAACTATATGTGGATTTTTGGATGTGTAAACAAGTCTAGTGAACTATGTTAACTGAATTTTGTAATATAAAGAAATTAAGAAGGGATTTTTTCATTCTTTCTAAAATATTTTTAAGGTTTATTTTWAAAAATACAATAGGAAATACTTGAGTGAATCCAAACTAAAGGCTGTTCTCTGGAGGTGGTGACAGGAGAAAGGAGCAGAGTAATCCTTAGGTGCCTCATGTCAGTGCCTTGAAGTAAGTCATTTTACCATGTCTAGGCAATTTGGCTAATAGGTAAATAGTTTGGTTTAGTGGTGGATTAATAGCTAAATTCTTSAGAATTTTGCAGCTTGTGGCATTTGAAGATGCTCAAAGTTCAAAAGTCTAGCCTCAATCAAAGCTGTGTTACAGCAATCACAGTAGGTGGTCAGGCCGCTGATAGTTTTATCGTTGCACAAACTTCAAAGATAAATGAATGGACTTACTTAAAGCATAGACTTGTAATGAGAAAAAAAAATCTTAAAATTTAGAAGTGTAAATAACAAAAATCATGTTTAGATCTTCCAGGTTCTCATCTAGCAAATCTAAGTAGCACCTGTACTCTATTCCTGGCTGGGAGGGCCCTGAAAATTTTTGTAGTACCTCTAAGAATAGCAACTGGAGTCATGCAGAGSAATTGCTCTTGACAACCTACACTTTCTTTAAGTGATGATTGCTTACGGCAGCCTTATTCATCTACCCTTTAGAAGACTTTTTGTAGTTTGTCAACTGGCTGTCATGTGGTATTGTAGGGCACTAACATCCCTGTGTCCCATCTTTCCCAAGTTTCTCTGGTTAACTTCTTTTATTTTGATATCGAATATATTACATTCCTGGTTTTAAGCTTCAGACCAGTTTCTCTATCTTTGTTTCCTTAAAACCAGACGTTATATACATGATTGCATGCACGCACGCATATATGTTATATAATGTAATATGTATACATGCAAACCTATAATTAGTATGTATGTGTATGTGTGAAATAGCAGTATTCACTAGCTTTAAGATTAGCTTGTTACAAATTTAGTATGAAAGTTGTAATTTATGCAACCCTTCTCTATCTTACTTATCTCTTTCTTTCACAGATGAATAGGAGGTATCAGGGAATGTATCATGCCTAGGTTAAATTCTGAATAATGCTGAGACTGAGTAATTGTACTTGAATCAACCTAGCTCTGAAATTAGATCTCAGTTGCAATGTGCRCGCATAACAGGGTATTATTTGCAGCTTTGTTCTAAGATAAGTAGGAAATTATATAACTGCTTACAATTTAGTTACCAGGACTTTGAAGTCCTTATTGTTTCTTTCCAGTATCATCTAGGGAGGGTATACTGAATAAAGTGTGTTGCTTTTATGTAATATTTTACCAATATTTCTTTTTTCACTATGAAATAATAGAAGAGGAAGATATTAAGACTTTTTTTTTGTTGTAGGAACATTGTGGGGAAGAATTGGCGTGATGAGTTTGCCCATGTGAAAACATTCCATTCTGTACAGAAAAAGTTGCCTAACTTTCCTGCCGTCTCATCCCATTGCGTTTTTCTGTTTTTCTTTTCCTTATTTTATTGTTTTCCCTAAAACATGAACAAAGATGACTTGTGAAGATTCTCRATAATGTGTTTTTGTTCTGAATTATTTCTTAACTGTCTTTAGTACATAACATTTGCAATATGTTGACAAAACTTGCAAAATCTTGACTTAATTTCTATTGTTTCCAGATGTCTTTTCCAAACTATGGTCTCATTAAGTCTACATTTAGCTTCAGGTGGAACTTTAAGGCTTTGGGGCTGACAAAAACATTTATTGTCTGGAATCTGTAGATGTTCTGAGTGGTTATTTCAAGTACRCTTCATCGTTACTAATACATTTTCTGCAACTGCTCTTCAAAACCATAAGCATAAATATTTGTGCCATTTATATATTCACATATTTTTTTCTGTTTCAAACATTATGAACATGGCAATGGATGAGGGCTGCAATTGGACCTGAAAATGAGCACCTSCAGCACCATTGATTAATTGAGCACTTCAGCTTTTATTTTTCTCTTGACAGATGTTGTGCTCCTTTGACAAATAACTATTAGTATCCAGCACCATATAGCATTTTTTTGATGGGAGCTTGAGGGAGGATCAAGTAATWTGGTGCCATATCAAGAAGAGAAAAGAGAGGGAAGGTAGCCTTTCTCCCAAAAGAAGTTACCTTTTATAARGTAAACATCATTCAAATGTACAGCGAAACAATGTTTTAGGATTACTTTTTAGGAGCCAAACAGACTGGACCACTGAAAAATAAAGTCAGAAACATGGACCTCTCTTAGGAATGCTTTGCTTTCCTGCTGCAACAGGAGCTTCCAGACCAAAGGAAATTAGGTAGCTGATTGAACTTCCCATAGTAAGAAAGCTACGATTCAGACCAGTTATTGACAATATTGAATTTGTAAGGTGATACTTGGTGGTATACAGAATATATAATATTTGATCACATTTTCCTGATATTTTCAGCTGCTGAGTACAAACAAGATGGTTTACCAATGTTTGGGAACTTGTTAGTGCAGTAATGAGTAGAAGATATCGGTGACTCTGTGCAGAGATATCAAAACATTGGTCACTATAGGGAGGATAGATGCTGTTGAGGTGTTTGAGTACTGCTTTCCTTTCTAATTGATTTGCTGTTACTTCTCTTCCCTCTGCTGCTTTTCTTGCAGAAATACTGTTTTAGCTGTTCTATTTCTGCTTCCTTTCTGGTGAAGAAATTATGGAATAGGCATGACAGAAGCTTGCCAGGCATCTCTCTGAAACCACCAGCAAGGCGTGCTTTTTAATGCAGTAGGGGATTTTACTGCAGTAGGAAGTTTTACTGCTGTCTCCCTCTTCCAGCTTAACAGAATTAATGGCATTTGTGTCAGAAACTGTGCTGGAAAGAATCCAGGCTACCTACAGATTAAGTGGTATCAAAGTTATGCTGGCTATACATCTCTCATTGGCCTTTCATAAAAGTCAGTGATTGAAGACTGGCATCAAGTTAAATGCATCTAAACAAGTCGTAACTATTGTGTTTATAGGGAAGCTTTTTACTGATTATTCTCTATTCCCTGTAGATTATACTGCAGATCCCAAAGTCTTTTTATTACCCTCAAGTCATAACAAAATCTAACTTGATTGATATTCTTGATGTACGTAGCAATTTCAGCTTATTTTAACATGGAGGTGCTGTTAATACAGAAGATTGGAACACCTGACAAAAAAGCATAGTCTGGGAGATTTTCTTGTGCCTTAAGATGAGGAGGGCCAAAGCAGGGGTTTTATTGTCTACGCTTATGTCATAGGCAGGTGTGGAGAAGAGGGGGCTCAGAGTTGAGAGAAACAATAGACACAAGATGGAGCACCAGAGATTGTGATTCTTATTTTAAGAACTATTATTTTAATTGCTGTAGATGGCAAGGTATTCCTTGTCAGATGTGAAAGAAGATTCAAACTTTCCTTAAGTTTTTTTCCTTGTAGATAATCACCAGTCACAAGTTCTAGTCTAAGATTATCTCTTCCTTCTCTTCTCATTCCTCTAAGAAAAAAGTATAGTTCAGGTGAAATGTCAAAGCAGTAAAGCACAGTATCAAATTGTTCTTTCCTTTTGCAGTTTGGTTGATTACCTTTCTTCTGTGTGCACCATGTAGTATATATGCACTCAGAGCTGCAGTATTTGGGAAGGAAAAAGCAGTTTTGGTGCCAATCCTGTAAACATTTTAAAAAGATTAGTCTGTACGATTTTGAATTCATCAAATAGATACAATGACCAGGTGTCTTAACTTTCAGAATAGGAAATGGAATTTATGCTTGAGATATGATTCAAAATTTACATTTTCATATTTCCTCTAAAATTAAAGCTTTTTTTCCCCTCCTTCCTCCCTCTCTCCAGTGTTTACTCTCTCAGCCGAAGTTCTGGGCCATTCAGACTTCAGCCTTGCTTCTTCGGACAAAGCTTGAGAGGGGCAGCACTCGCCGAATGGAGCGAGCAATGAAGCAAACTCAGGTAAGGCTTCTGAGCTGCCTAGTTCTACTTTGGATATCTGTGTTACAAATACCAGGTCCCTATGCATATTACATGGAACCAGGTAGGAGAATGCTAAGGTACTTCTCCTTTCTATAAACAATATAGTGAGCCGAGATTTGTAATTATACTTTTAAGTTAGATGCATAGACCACAAATCTTTTCATTTCTGCCAGTCACGAGACAAACTCTTATATGTACAAGTAATAAATGGTCTCTTTCTTTCAGAAAGTTATAAAAGTTTTGGAAGATTGAAATTAGTCTGTTTTCTAACTTGCAGTTTCTGACTTTCGTAAATGACTCAGATATTTCAGAAGAATTCATGGATGTAAAGCTACTTCAGTTATTTCTTTAACGGAATTAAAACATCTATAGGAAAATTGAGACTTGCAAGTGGTTGTTGGTACCATACAAACAGAAAAGCACCTTTATTCATAAAGTTGCACTTTTTGATTTACTATTTTGACGTGCCACTTAGCAATTGATATTTTTATTGCAGATTTGAGGCAGTGACTAAATCTTGCTCCAAATGTAAATAACACATTTTCAAAATCCAAATGAGAAATTTATCAGCTCATGAGATTTATTTATGAAATTATTTAAAAGATTAAAAAAACCTATAAACTTTATAAGGGTTGTTTCTTCACATTGAAGAGTTTTATGAGTCACCTTTATTACTGTTGAGTTGTCTTGTCAYACATGAAGAGCAGACATTTCTATGTGTCTGTCAAGCAACACTCCTGATGACTAAAAAGGATGAGGGACATATAAGATGAATGACTGATGGGTATTTGCATCCTGAATATACTGATTTTTTCATCTAAAATCATTATTAGTGCATGGATCTTGTAAGGTCTGCCACATCAATTGCTGCCACACTTTTCTCCTGACAAGGAGTGCACAAAGTTGCTCTAGTGGAATTTTCCAGGATCGTTAGGAATGTTAGAGAAGCCCACATTCCCTGACTGGGAGAAGATGTAGTATGTGAAGGCATTGGGGGAGCGATCTCGGGGTGCTTTAAGCACTAAGTCACAAAGCAATTGGAGTGTTGCCCACATTTTCTTATTTATCTTGGTAAACCTGAGTATTAGAAGCTGTCATACCTCATACTGTATACAGTTTGATAATGTCATGATGGAAATCTCATCAAAGGCTGATGGTTAAGGCACGTATGTGAATTCCCATGTGTTGCAATTGCTAAATGCTGCCATTTTTCATACAAGCTCTGGATTTTCGAAAAAGGAGATTGAATAGCATATACTGGGCCATTTGGAGAGGTGACCCCACAGCAGGGACTGAATCTSTGAGTTTTTTAAGTATTATTTTTAATCTTACTATTTTTAATGAAGGCATCTGAATAGAATGGCATTTATACTGATTTGATTCTGTATCAAGCTCAATTTGCATAAAAGTTAGAGGATGTTTAAGTGATGATCAGTGCTAAACTAAATCAAATAATCTGGATATCTTTCCATTTAAGGTTTTTATTTCTGAACTCCATCAAACCAAAATTTTTAACCAGATACTGTGATTTCTAACAGTTCTAAGAATTCTTAAGGAATCAGAATCAGGAAGCATAGACTGAGTGTCCTGTGTTATTGGCATACATAGCACAAGGTCCTTTTGCCATCATCTTCATGAAGATGCTTAAGTTTGAGCCCAGATCTGTTTCCTACTTTTTTATGATTTCATGTTTTATCAAACTGGTGTAACAAGATTGGATGGTAAAGTGTGAGAAAGGGCAAGTTTACTTCAGCCTGGAAAATAAGGAAAGAGGTGAGTGTAATATGGTTGTATTCTCCCTGTTCTTTACAATATCTGTCTTTAAAGTAATTGAGAGTCCATGCAAGACAACTTGAATATAAATCGATAAAATCAAATCTTCTAACTAATGTGATTTGGGGTTACCCAATGAGTGTGTGCAGACCAATATAGACTCCACCTTATTATGCTGGGACTCTGTTTTTCTGTTGTAATTCTTTCTTTCCTGATTTCCACTCATATCTGCTGCTATTTTGTTTGCACTGGATTTGAAAATCCTTCTAACCATCTGATAAACACTTTTTTAGGGGAATATTAATAGGCCATCATCTACTGCCTTTCTGTATAGGGCAATCCAGGCTACATTTGCCTCATTTCACTTTTTTTTGTCAAAGAAACTGCTTTTGGACTGCTTTTTTATGGTCCTCACTTTGTTGGTTTAGCTTATTTTAATTATTTCAAAATAATTACAGCTATTGTAAGTATATTGTTTGAATTTAGCTGTCATGTTCCAAGTATTGGATAGATTCCTAGTTTATGCTGAAAAGCTTTTATGAAATGATATTGTAAAAAGTTCTTTAATTAGAAAGCTTCAAAAGGAATTGGAATAATCATTTACAAAACTTTTCTAATTATTTTTAAAGTATGAACTAAAAAAATCATTCTGGGTGCAGTGGAATGTGTTTCAGCTAATAGCTAACTGGAAGTGAGGAGGAAAGATTTTTTTTTTTTTTTTTTTTTTTTTTTTTTTTTCCGGAGGCCACTGGTTGTCTCCATCCAGTTTTTGTCTAAATGTGTTTTGGATACACAAATAAGAAACAGCACTTGGAGCTTGGCCTAAAACTGGGTTCCCTTACATTCCTCTAGACTGTTTAATAGGGAGCAGTATAACATATATTGCAGTGTGGATCAAGGATCTGCCAATCAGAATGTGTTTCTGTATACTGCATGATTTTTAAGAGCTTTTTAAAATTTATTTATTTTCCCAAATGAATGATGTGCCAAGTCAAAGAGAAGGGAGAAGGAGAGTAGAGGAGGAAACAAGTGTTAGTTGTTGCTAGTTGTGTGGAAAGCTATTTATCAACCTGCAGTTGCCTCATCAGTTTGAAGATCTTCAGCTGCTTTCTGTGGTAAAAAAGTAATTCAGAAATTCAGGAATCCTCTCTGCAGAGGATACCAGGTTTGGGAGAAGAGAATCAGCAGTCCGGCCCAGGTGCTGCGGCCTGCAGGCCGGGTGCACCGGTAGCTGGCTAAGGCCTGGTCCCCAGCCTCTCATTGCAGTCACTTCCCAAGGCTTAATCTGTGTGGTTACACTGGCTACCTTTGTGTTTGGAGCGTTTGTCAGCTTGTTTTATCCTCTTTCTCCCCTTGTATTTTCTCCCCTTGGCTGCACCTGGTGATAATGGGCCAGTTGCTAGCCTTTTCTGCACGTGCAGTACARCGTTTGCTGTATTTCATATGGTGCTTGCACGCGTGCTTTTCTTGGCCATGCAGAAATTTCTCTGGTAGAAGAAATGTGTCTTGAGAGGGTGTTTTTAATAAGAGCTTAGGAGATCTGGGAGCAGACGGGCAATATTATAAGCTAAGCGTTATGTCTGAGAAAGGCCACGTGAGATCTTGTTTTATATCCTTAGTCATAGACAGATGTATGTGGTTGGGAATTGTGTGTCAACTGCTCTCCAATTTTCACTTAAATAGTACTTTAGAGTGTCATTTTCTCCAATGACTTCTATTTTTCTGTGTGTGAAAAAAAATTCTCATTTGTTGGTTTAAAATTTTCCTGCTTGAGGCATTCTGTAGAGGTTGTTGGTGTATGTCTTAGCTGGTGTGTTGTCTTTCAGACCTGAAGAGTTCAGTGTGCATCTATAAAGAGAAGAGGTATAAATCTTCTGGCATCTTGTGTGCTGTGAGGCCTCACTTGTGCTAATGCACCTTTACTGTTTTGTTCGCCTCACAGGGTGTTTAGTTGTGCACTGGCCTGGGAGTCTACCCCTATCCTTCAAAACCCCCTCTTATACCCTAAAGAGTACATTAAATAAGAATTTAATAGTTGCTTTGAAAGTGTGTATTGAATGAGAGCGAGGATGACAGAGTGGAAAAAAAAGATTGACTTAAAAATTTGGCTCTGAGATGTCTTATATGAATTTAGAAATTTTATTGAAAAGTTCCTGGGATCTGGGGTATGGAGTGAGATTTAAATTGCTGCCTTCAGAAGTATAGTAAGTAGAAGCACGTTCCCATTAAACCTGTAGAGATTTTCCATTGATATTCTCACAATTCTCAACTATTGTTAATTGCATTTATTACTATTTCCAAGAAGCTTTTAAAAAGAGGAGAAAAGCTAGGTATCTCAAAATCTTTACTTGATGAGTTCTATACAAAATCCTAAGGTCTCCAGAACCCTTGAAATAAACCTTATTCAATAATAAGTCACAGAGGAGAGTAATTTTTGGTGATGGTTAGTGATTTTTATCTCAAAATGTGCATTTCCAGGAATTATTTCATTTTGCTTAAGGAAACAGAAGACAAAATACACAAGATGTTACTTTGCACAAGTGATTCTAGTGATATACAGAGCTTATTAACACACTTCAAAATAATTACGAGGGTGCTTGGCACCATCTGTTTTTCTTCCAGCAAATGATTATCCTTTTTGCACAAAAAGGAGATCCACTCAGCCAAGGATTCTTCAAGAATAATGGGTTTTGTACCRCTTAGGAAAAAGAATATTGAATATTATGATCTTCCAGGTACTACTTTCTGCTTAGGAATTTTCTACTGCCCTGTTGTATTTGCCAATTTGGATTAGGGCTGTTAGGCAGTGTCCGGAAAAGAATGTAGCCATTCTTTATAGCTACACTTTGTTCATATTTTCTTAGCTAGTACTTAAAACGTACAAGCTTCTTTAGTCATTTGAGAATTTATGTTAAATACTAGATCTGTTACAATCCTGGTGTAATACATTTTCTAAAAAGCAGCCAAAATAAACCTTGCGTTTTTCCAGCTGTTGCCATTTGAATCTTTGCTCTGAAGGGTTTTTACCTTCCTTCCCTCTTCACTAGTGTCCTGAGAGTAGTGAGAGTGTCCTGAGAATGAGGGTAGTGGGAATAAGTGTCAGATAGGAAAATCCTTAAGCTACACTGAACAGCAGTTGCATTTTTTTTGTGTGGACAAAATGATGACAGCTACTTACAAAAACAAATGAATGACTGCAGATTCCA